AGAAGTTTTTGAGTTACTCACCCTTTCCAAGCGAGCTTACCCAAACTTACAATGTCGCCACACAGTGAAACTGTCTTACACAGGTTAAAATCTTCAGTCGTGTTTAAATAGGTAAATATACTCACCTATGTTCTCGATATATATATATATATATATATATATATATATATATATATATATATATATATATATATATATATATATATATATATATATAGTCATAACTAAAATCAACAATTTCAACAACTTTAACAATTGCAACAATTTTCAAAGATTGGTCTGACCAAACTAGATCAAAACAAAAAGTTTAACAAGTTAAATAATCAAACTTGGATGTTTAGTTCAAGTTTTAACACGCAAAGACAACCAAGTTTTCTCTCCTTCTCTTCCTTTCGTGTTCACGTCTTCACTTATCCTCTTCGTTCCAAACGAAACTGTAACTGCTATATTGGAGAAAGGAGTGAAACAGTTTTGACTTATGACTTTTAATTTTTTAAATGACATTGTAACATTCGCCCGGAAGTACATATCGACGGAAAATAAAGCTAGGTTCTGAAATGTTTGGCTAGGTTCTACGCAAAGCTCTACATGCTTTTTACTGTCTCTTCCAAAGCCAGTTCTTTTTGGTGGTCTTTCTAACATCGGGTCGACAAAAACGTTACTGTTTCCGGCTTCGATCAGAACGCTCTAACTAACTTAATGACATGCAAAATATTGAGCTCATGGCTGGGTCCCCAGACCACGAGGTCACTCCTAAAAACAGGGCTACTACTATTTATTATATTACTATTGTTTTTGTTCAGTAGATAAAAATCATCATCTTCATCAAAGATGGATCAACCCTTTCCCTTAGCTCCTAGCTTCTCATAGTCTGAAAATGAATTTAGATGTTAATGTAATCAGAAGGTCAAAAGTATCATAGTAACAGAGGTTACAGTCAGGAGACCCTTCATCACGTATTTCAGTCAAAATCATTGGAATTTTCTAGATATGGAAGTGATAATGATAAAAGAAGATGACAAGTGTTTAAGTCCTTTCAATTAAAATCGATACGGGTTACGTTTCTTCAATAAAAACACGCATTTCGACACGAGAAAACATAATATACAAGTGTTACAAATAAAAAATTTCGTCGAAAGTTATTTTGTCAATTATTGTTCCGAGTACGCAAGCGGCGTTCGCAATTTGTAATTCCAGGGAGATTCACTGTTTTAAAATGCTGCCTGCTCTGGGTTCCTCAGTGCATATGCTTAGAATCTTACAAAGCTTGCTCAAAAACAATATATGCTGGGGCCGGCCGCGCCCTGAGTTTCAAAAGCTAGCGATTGAAAAAGATATCCATCATTTACAAGATCTTTATACTTGTCAGTTTTTTGCTCTTCCGCTTCAACGGCAGCCGTACTAGGGTTACAAACAGACCCGGCATTAATCCTACAAGGAGCTAAGGAGTTTACTACCATTACATCCCACAAGAGCTGCTTACCAACAGCCCATGGAACGAGCGTCAAACCGTCTGGTTGCTTCTGATCGGTCCTGTAGAGGTGTCGTGGTTTTAAAACAGACGGAATGTGAGTAGAAGATAAACTCTGCTTTGTAAGGTCATTCAAGTTTGAATGCCTAGTGAATCTCCCTGCCTTTTTGAGGCAAGAAAGACCATGCCAACCATCCTCGGTAACGTCTTTTCCGCACACGCATTTATGCCGTTCGCATATTTTTGAGCCTAATCGGAGTCCTATCGCAATTCTGAGTTGTTGGTTCGACAGTTTTAACCTTAAATTTTTGCACGGGATGACGTTCAACCATTAGGAGCCAAATCTGTCTTGGAACGCGTTAAATCTTTTTACGTCCGTTGGTTCGAGTCGTAAAATCAAGTCTGCAATTTCGCTGTCAAAAATTGGCTCCGTCCAATTTTTTTGGATTTCATTTTCCGGAGCCACTTCAATTTTTCCAAGTTCAAACCACCGCTTAAGCGCATCATCATAGGTTCCATCCACATGCTCCAAACCAAAAATTTTGCTCAAGGCATCTTTCGCTCCTACTGCTGAGGCTAAGAAAGCGGGTAAAGCGAGTAGATGAGCGGAAGAAACGCCCAAGCCACCTTTGGCTGCCGGAAGAACTGCTTGTAAAAACTGGTTATCATCCATTTTCACGTTAGTGACCTTGCATAACGAATTTCTTAG